TGTTTAGCTATTCTAAGTCCCAGTGTTAAATACAACCCCTTCCCAAAGTGGTGCCTAATTAAAAGCTCCTGGCAATATGGTGTATGTTGCATTGGATTAATTTTCCAACTTTTGCCTGCTGTGTGGAAAGAATCACTTTAGAGTAAAATCCCACATTATTTTTGCAGTTCTCACAGCTGTGGGCTCCTCATTTCTCCCTGGAACTACCCACATTGGAGGCTTACCTTGTGTCTGTGGAGGCATTTCCCCCTCCCTGGTAGTTAGGGTGAACGTCCAGACTGCTTTGTTCTTTTCTCTGCATTGTGGTCCAGTTCTCCAACTGCTCTATAGCTTCTAATTTTCCTGTCAGTTCCTTCCCATTCCCAGAGATGATCTTCTCTCTTTGCCAAGTTATTATTTTCCAAGTATCTGGATTCCAGGTCACAGAGAAGCTAAATTTTGCTGCTGATAGCTACTCCACCATTTTGGTTACTCTGAGTTTTTACTTTCTTCATAGTGTCCTTTGAAAGACATTTTGATAAAATCCAATGTATCTATTTTTTACTTTGTTGCCTATGCTTTTGGTATCCTCTCTAAGAAACCCCATACCAGGTTATAAAGATGTAGCCCTTAGTTTTCTTCAGGAGTTTTATAATTTGTCCTTATGATCATAGGTCTTCCATGAATTTTGAGTAACATCTTTGTGTCCGGTATGAGGTAAGAGTGCAGCTTCATTCTTTTGCATGTCGCTGTTATAGTAGCCCTGGATCTTTGGATCTTTTGGCAAACTTGGAATTTTCCTACTGGCCCAAACTCTCAGTTGGTTCTTGTTTTTCATGCCTTCACTAGTTCTCTGCTTTGCAGGGCCCTGGTTTCTCTGTCAGGTAAAACCCAACTGCTTTATTTTTCAAAATATCACTTTTGAATAGGTAACATAATATGCACAAATTTAAATGTAAATATGAATGCTAAAGATAGAAAGGGTATAAAGTGAAAGGCCTCCCTCTCACTGATGCCTTTTGATCACCCAAGTCTCACTCTCTGGAGACACCTACTTTTTGTTTCTCAGCATTTTATGCAGATTCAATGTTCACTCATGTTGTCACTTTTTTCATAAATTATGACATAATATATATATTCTCATATCCAGTGCTTGTTTCACTTAAGGCAATACATCTTGGTGATCTTTCCATAACAATATTCTAAAGGCCTCTTGTGTTCATCTGACTGGACATGTTGGATTTTACTGCATGAATGAACCAGAGTTTATTTAACCTGTTCTTTCTTAGTAGACTTGGGGAAGCTTCTAAGCTTTGGTTATTATAAGCCAGGCTGGAAAAATTTTCTGTTACTGTGTAAATTTTTGTGTGTAGTTTTATATCTTTAGGGTGCATCCCTACAGGGGAATAATACTATTAAAAGGATATATACTTTAAAATTTTTTACAAATAATGCCAGATTGATCTATAGACATTTTATCAATTTATATTTCTGTCAATTAATGAGTGCCTGTTTCTACATCCTGACCAACATGGTATGATTATTTTTTTGCTTTAGTATCTCAGTGTTAATTTGCATGGGTTTTGTGAATGAGGTTCGACATCTTTTCCTGTGTTTAAGAATCCTTGATATATCCTTTTTCTGTGGTCTATTCACTTTCTCTACCTTTTTCCCAGGTTGCCTATTAGTCTTTTTATTGATTTGTGAGAGTTCTGTATTGATTAAAGGTATGAAATGAAAATGCTTTCCCCACACACATTTTACCTTTTGATCCTATTTGGTTATTTTCTCCCAATACAAAACTATCTTTACTTTTATGGAGATCACTTTATCCATTTATTCTTCTATGTCTTTTGGTTTTGAGACATAGAAAGACCTTCTTTATTTCATAAAAAAAGAAATTCATAAAAATTTCTTATTTGCAATTTTATTTCATTTAAATGTGTGATCCTTGCAGAATTTCTCCACTCTTGGGCTATTATTGCTTGCTTATATTTCAATATAAACTGCATTGATTTGTTTTACTTTCAAAAAGCCCCCTTGGCATTTGTATTGGGATGACCCTAAATTTGTGGATTTACTCCGGGAGACTGCTGCCCGTAGATCTGCCTGTGTATCCAGCAAGACTGAGGGGGCAGGAGGAGAGTGGAGTCTGAACCTTCTGGAAATGTTCCTGGACCTTGAATGCACACGGCTGACCTGTGGGCCACCTCCCACTTGAATCCTTCCACCAGCCTCACTAGCAAGGGTTTTGAGCAGTGCACATCTCCGGCTCCAGGCCCTAGTGTGTGAAAATCTTCTTTTTTTTTTTTTGTACTGGGGATTGAACTCAGGTCCTTGCGCTTGCAAGGCAGGCCACTGAACCGCTGAGCTAAATCCCCGGTGTTTCGGGCCCTACTGTGGCAAGATTCACAAATGGAGGATCACACGGGACTTCTGAAAATTCTTAACAGGGAGGAGGCAGGCCCTTCCTCTTCCCCCTTTCTGTTTCCAGAAATATGTGCCTGCTGGCTAGAACTCAGTACTGTGATAGACCATAGGTCTCTGGCTAAGGTGGTACATGGGCAGGACACTGAGGACTTCCAGGTGGGGTGGAGGTGAGGATTTTGTCACCACACAGGCCTAGCAGCAATGCATACAGAGAAGGCAGGCTGTGGTTTTACTGTGAGTGAGCATAAGGAAGTTAGGGTGACCAGTTTGCATATGTGTAGGTTCAGGTCTATGGTAGGACTTGACAGCCATGAAAAACCTTCATGTATTTGGGGAAGAATTTGTAGCACCATAGTTATAGCTGTTCAGAAATATACTTGAAGCTTGAAAGTTAATGAAAATAGGAGCACTTCATACAAAATGTGGTTCTCAAGCCAGTTCCCCCTTTCAAGGTGGGATCACCATAGAAATAAGGGTCCCTTCCATTTCTTTGGAAGTTGTCTACAGGTTGAATAGTAGAGGGGCTGTGTCCTAAGAGAGGTGCCATGTCTCCCCCAGCTGCCCTCCTTTCTTCTGGAAGTACTGTCCACAACCACACATTCCCAGGGGACATACAGGTCTGTATTACTTTCTATCCAAAGTAAAAGGCCCGCTAATGTAAGAGTAGGTCCTAATAAATATGTAAATATAGAAAGGCAAATAATTTTATATGCAGAACCCAGATGCTGCCTGGCTCTTCTTGCTTCAAGGGAAGGATTAATGATAAACTCCAAATTTGTTCAGAAGCATCCTAATGCATGATGGAAGGACAAGCCCATACCCTCCACAGTGCCCTTCTCTGGGTGGGAATGGTGGGGGAGGTGTACCCCGATGGTGCTGCAGGCTCCAAGAAGTCTTCTTGTTCTTAATCTCCTTCCAGCAAGTCCTGCGACCCCATACCTGCTTTCCAGGGGCCCTTGCTTCCACCGTGGGAGCTGATACAGACCTTGCAGAAGAGTAGGCTGTGCCCTGCAGCTGCAGTTGTTATGTTAGCAGGAGCTGTCTGGAGGCCCAGCATGATTGGGCATGTACATGGGTGCCAGCCTCACCCTAATGTAACCCAAGCTTTAGCTCCCCTCACCCTACAGAATATTTCCAAGCCCTTCTAGCCCCTTGAAATCCAGGCCCAAGAACATGAGGCCCAGAGGGGAGAAAGCTTCTGTTTCACCTGTTAGGAACAGCTCCACTTCCCTTAGGGCACATCCTGACCTCTGCCTTTGAGATTCGGCCTTGCCCTAATGTCCTGGTGCTGACACTCTTCACAGTGTGTACTGCAGAGTCAGCTGGAGCACATTTTACAAATGGAGATTCATGGGTCTCATTCCAGATGTTGTCAGATCATAGCAGTGGGGCCTAGTGCCTGCAGGGTCAGCACCTTCTTGGAATCAGGAGCTCGGGTCTTAAATACTCTACGTTGGGGACATCGGTGCTGCAGTCTGAGCTTCCCAGCCTGTCACGTCATGTAAGGAAGGGAGTGGAGTTTACCAACTTGCCTCACTCCTCCAGGTCCCTGCTTGTGATCTGTGATATGCTGCGGGTATGGTCTAGTTCCTCACACAGGGCGTTCCCCATCAGGAAATGTGACCCGGGGCCGCAAAGCTCTGCCTAAACTGGGCCCTCCCAATCGGGGTCACAGGAACAATGAGGCTTTCTGGGCTTCAGCTCCTCGGGTGTCACTTCAGGGACCAGCAAACAGTCTTCACTTTTTCATTTGCATAACCAAATAGTTGGGCAGAGTGCTTTCCCTGGAACAGAGGCGTCTGCACACAGCATTGTTTCACAGGAACCCCTAGGCCTCCCATGGAACTTAGGGAGACAGGGACACCCAGACCAAAGGTGTACACTGGAGTGGCCCCAGTCAGGAACAGGGATCACCCTCCACTTTGGCCACAGATGTGTCTTTGCTTTCAGTTGTTACTGTGCTTTAAAAAAAAATGGACCCTGGGTCAGGGACCTAGCTCAGTGGCACTGCACTTGCCTTGCAAGTGTAAGGTCCTGAGTTCACTTCCAGGTACAAAAAAAAAAAAAAAAAAAAAAAAAAAAAAAATT